TAAAGCCAGATGTGTTTTAGTGGTTACATTGTAATTGACTTGCTTCCATTCAAAGTGCAACATCCCTCAGTTGATGGCTTCATCCAGCTTTCAAATACAGTCTTTGCTTTAAAACTAGGTACATATGTGTGACCTAAAAACTCACTGGTATTGGATCTGGTGTGATCCCCATTGTTTAATTGCATTATGTAAATGGATGGAATTTTCAAAAATCAATGAAAGTTATCCGATTATCAAATACTTGGATGGAAAACAAAAACCTGGATCATATGTGACATGTGGCAGTATGGTTGTTTCCATGGAGATCTTACCAGTGCAGATGTTCTATGAGGTCTAGGTTTTATAGTTTAAATGATTATATTGAGGATTTCAACATAATTTGAATTTTTCATGAATCTATTTCCATTTTAGAGAGCGCTGCATGATTTTTGCCTGTTGCTTACGCAAAAATAATTATCTCTTAATGTATTTTTGTTTTAAACAAACACATTATAAATACAAGAGTAAGTAAAGTAAAGTCTAGTTCTCATCACATTGAAGTGATGTGCAAGTATATTTGAGGATGCATGCATGCAGTAGGTTGGATTAGGTTGGGCTGGGAGCTTTTTTTTATCACACGTAACCACAGGTTACACAAATTATTAAACAATCTTGTGTTACCAAGGGATATGAAGTTGTGCAGAGTATTATTTAAACTTGCCGAGGATTTCCAGAAGCAGCATGCCTGTTACTAAGAATCCCTGTCTATTTTATAAAGGGCTCCAATTAAAACTGAAGTAAAAATCCATAGATGCATTGTAGTTTTCTTGGCACTTGAGTTGAGATGTAATAGGAACTGCTGATTTCTAACTTTTTACAGCACATCTATTTAAAACTGTTTTTATGTTTTAAGGGTCCTCCCGGTCCCCCTGGTGAAGACGGACCTCAGGGAAAAGATGGAGCCAAGGTTTGTTGACTTGTGTGTTCTTGATTATTTCTGATCAAATGAACCAGGGAGCCAAAAGATTTATTTTAGCAGGACTGACCCTATGATAGTAAATCAAAATGTTGGAACATCCGCAGATTAGCTCAGGATTCCAAAATAGGTCATCCCAGTGGTACATTGAATCTCATTGCATTACTTAGTATATCTACTTAATTTCACACTGGATTTGAGTATGATATTAAAATCTAGGGAAGCGGGTGAAAGTCATGTTAGTTTGCCCCAAATCTTCCATCTTTCTAGTGGTAATATAATAAAAGCTTATTCTATTGTTGCTGAATTGTCTTTACTTTTACTCTTTTCTTGTGTGCCTGTTTTCCTCTTTCTACGTCAAATTGCCAGGGTGAACCTGGAGAGCGTGGGCCTTTTGGGGAGCCAGGGGAGAAAGGGACAGAAGGGGATCCTGGACCCCTGGGGCCACCCGGAGAGCCTGGGAAACAGGGCTTCCGTGTAAGTTAATATTGGTCCCAAAGTTTAACTTTCAGATAATACAGCAAACTTCATGTAAATGAGGGAAATCTAGAGACACATTTCTGTAAATAATGCCTTTGATTCCCAGTAGGGGTCACTCTGCTCTTCAATAAAAACGTTTTGCTACTGGGTTAATAAATTTACCTTGTCAGAAATTTTGGATGTGTAGCATGGTCTGAGAGCTGCAGATCTTAGGTTCTTGGTGTTTGGAGATACAGATCCAAGTCTAGCCATGGGTGACAAGGAGCAAGAAGGTCACTGTTATCTGGAGGGAAGGACGCAGATTCAGAGTGTATCTAGTGTATCAGTATCTGCTGGTTAGTGTTTAATCTGAACATCGGGCAATAAAGTGAGACAGAATCCAGAATATGACAGAGTCTGTTCTGGGATAATTTAAAACGTATTTTAAGCAATATAATTTACTGGCAATCACTTTACAGGGTCCAGAAGGAAAAGTGGGTCCCCCAGGAAACAGAGGACGGCACGGAAAGAAAGTAAATATCCTGATCAACACCATATGTTTCCCAGCCAAGTTCCATTTAACACGAAGGGCACATTTAACACAGAGAGCCACTGAGGCATCTAGTCTTATAGTTTATTTTTAAAGTAACCTGCTTACAATAAAACGAAAACAGCAAGATTTATTAATAACAATAATTTTTATGTCTTTTAATTATATTTACAATCTTTTACAGGGAGAGAGGGGTCCTCCTGGTCTTGCTGGGGAGATTGGCGCTCGGGGAGACATCGGCCAGCCGGGCGAGCCAGGACTGAAAGGTGCCAGGGGAACTCGAGGCACATCTGTAAGTTCCCATTTCTTCTTCTACTACTGTAGGTGTTGAAGACTGCAAGCCACAGTTTATATAGAAGGTGTGGCCTGCAGTCTATGATGTTTGTTAATTGAATCTGTGGAATTGTATCAGCTGAACCTTTAGCTATAATGGGCTAGAGAGGGGAAAAAGACACATCTTGTGTATAATTAATTCTTTATACTGCTGAAGTCAATCGAACTCAGAATTTTAAAACCAAAGCAAGAAGATGTAAGAGATGGCAAGCTAGGAGGATGCCAGACATTTTTTCAGCTCCCCTTTCAGTAGAACCACTGAGACTACTTTGATATAGCTGTGGATCAACGATTTATAAGCCTGCCAAAGATATATTTATCTGGAGAAGACCTAAAAAGCAAAGCAGAAGCACCATGACTGATTCAAGGCCTTATTTCGCATTTTCTGCATTGTTTCCAGGGTCAGCCTGGAGTCATGGGGATAGACGGGCAACCAGGACTTCCAGGATACCCAGTAAGTTTTTCTTTTCTAAACTTGGTTTCATGAAAACAGTCTTTTTGTCTTCACTCGTGTATACATGAATGTGTATTGTATAACCATGTGGGATAAACACACACACACACACGAAAACTTAACAACCATATGTGCACATGCTCAGAAACGCACAAAACCCCATGAGTACAGTGCCCTGAGATTTTCATGCCAGAACACTTTACTCACAGTTATTGAAGAAAGAAGGATGACTGATGTGTCAGTCATCCTTCTTTGCTTTTCTCGGTAGCCTGAGATATCCTCAAAAACACTAGATATCAGAAAATATCTTTACAAATTCTACACAAATAGAGCCTAATGCTTGTTGCTAATGTTTTTTGTGAATCTGTGTGTGCATGTGTGCTTTTAGAGTCCTTCAGACTTGATTGAATCTGACATAATATATGGAATTTTGTTTATCCCTAAAGAACAGTTCTGATTAAAAGCCAGCATAAGTGTGGCAGCCCCATTACGTACAATAGTCAGGTTTTGTTTTTTTTCTTTAGGGGCACCTTGGAAAGCCTGGGCCCGTTGGCCCGCCAGGACCCAAAGGTGAAAAGGTAATTTGATACCTGAATTTGTGACTTATGTCCTTAACTGGATTTCTTAGGTTATTCAGAGTTCTTTAAAGTACTAAATTATCTGCCTGCAATCTACATCCATTCATCTATGATTGTATGTTTGCGTTTGCTACATCCCAGGGTTACCCAGGCGAGGACAACAGGACCCCAGGACTGCCAGGGCCCTTAGGTGAACCAGTAGGTCTTGCTTTCCTTTAAACTCTCCATTCTGAACTCTCCTTGCTCTGCTTATCCAAAGCAATTTAAATACCAGATTGAGACTGGATGTAAAAGTTAATCCTGATCAGCTCCTGATTTTAGCACCAAATGCACTCATTGATAAAAAATGAATGTTAAAGTTTCTTATCCTAAATCTGTCATGTGCATGAAGCGATTATCAACCTTCTGTGTCTTAATTACTGACTGAGAAGTTAGAGACAAAACGGCTACCTCACACACAGGGCACAGCTAAAGTTTTCTTCCTAATACCTAAGTCACCACAAGAATTCAGCATATTTCACAGTGACTCATTCTTAGACTAATATCAAAGGAGGATCAGCATAAAGCGGCTTTAGAAACCCCGGAGTCATGCAGTCATACAACAGTTGTGTTCTCTAAGATGCATTTCCCCTGCAATAGCCATGACTACTGACAGAGGCTACACTGCATGAACAGTTGGAGGTATTGGCTGTCTGCACGTCAGTAGTATTGAATTTTCAAGTTGGCACAGAATTGCAGTGTATAGTATAAGCAATACAATGCCAGCCTCTGCTTTATTGTACCCTGTAATCACGTTCAGAGAGATTCATGTGTTTGATATGTGGGGAGTGAGTCTGAGTAGGTGCCCAGCTCACCTGAAGCTGTGCAGGTAAAAGACAGTCATGTATGTATATGCAGTACGCACATTCATGTGTGTGCATTCATTGTCTACGCAGGGGCCTCCAGGGGAACGAGGAGAGCGTGGAGAGTCGGGGGATGAAGGCTATCAGGTAGGAACGAACCATTAAACGTCAGACACACGGCACTCCGCTCAGTCTGCTTGATTGTTGTTTATACTCCACGCTGCCCCTTTCGCATGAAGAGCAGACCACACATGCTGGAGAGGATTACCAAAATCCGAGCAATAAGGCTGAGAAAATCTGCTGCTTTTTCCCAAGAAGTACACACACTTGAGCACAAGTTCACGGTGATGGCAACGTATTAACTGGGGGGGTCTGTGCTAGTCTGTGAACTCGTCTCCAAATTCAAAAATCTTCATTGTCGTTAACATATAAAACACTTTGGTTTTTAGATGCATTTGTTTTTGTTGTATTATTCTGTAGTTTCCTTAGACAGGACAAAAGACAGACTGGTTAGTTAAGTAAATGGATGAAATTAATTCGGTGCAATTATAGATAATATAAAAAAATCCTAGTTTTGATTCTATGGAGCCTCTGAGTTTTTACTGCAGGTGGAAAAGACGCATTTGGGTATAGACATTAATTATGCTTTTGGGCTCCCTCTTTAGTAAAGAACATGAGAATGATGTGTATGTATTATTCACAAATAAAAAGTTACTTATCAAATCTGAAAATTATGTTTCAGGGCTATATCGGTACCCCTGGACCTCGTGGGGCTTCTGGACCACAAGGCCCACCGGTAAGTCAGTAAACAGCTGCCTAAAAATTTACAAAGAACTAAACCGAAGTTTTAGACTGAAGAAGGCTCGTGGATGAGAGCTAAAGAAGACTTAAAGAAGTCTGGTTGCCTTTTTATTTTCAAGCTTAAGACTACCATGACCTAATGGCAGAGAACCCACACAGCCGTAGCAACACTATTTAATCTGTTGTTTTTTTACATTTACCTACTGTGTGCTGGCCTTATTGTGGTGATGATAAATATATGAAATATCTAAATGTGTTCTTTCAAAGGGTGACAGATAAGTACGTCTTTAAATCAAAACTTTTTATTCAGTTTGAGAGTGTGATTGTTCTCCTAACAGGAAAATGCCTATTAGATTAGGATCTATACTGTGGGATATACTGCATATGCTGTGGAGTGTTAAAAGTGACTCGATTAAGAAGTAGGGTAAACAAGGATATTCCTTATAATCTTGCATATCATTTTTATATAGATCTACACAGCTTGATAATATTTTGCGTGTTTATATTCTACTTACTTTATAGTGTATTCTTCCTTCGCACAGGGATCTCCAGGCTCCCCCGGAGAACCAGGCCCAAAAGGAGAAAAAGGAGCTCCGGTGAGACTTGACACCATTCACATACAGCATAATACAGCTTTTCAATAATGTGAATAGTTTAGGAAATCACTAAATTTGGTCTCTTCTCTGTGTGGAATGATTGATTTACACCTGACAGTAGAAAATGTACAAAACCAGATGCAAACAGATTTAACCAAAATCCCCAATTTGTCATTTTTTTAGCTGTCACCACAGGAGCATGCTGCTACAGATGTTTAAGCTGCTTGTCACGCTAGATAATTTTAGCTCAGCTGTGGTAGAATTCTGCTTACTTCATCGAGATAGAAAGCAGGCGGTTGAAGAAAAAAGAAATGCTTGGAGCAATGAAGTTTGGACAGCAACCAGGGAACTGCAGCTTTTCCTTGCACCCTGAATGCACCATTAAACTTCTCAAATATTTAATCTGATGTTTATTAATGGCTCATTGCTTTTTGTTCTTTGATACTTAAATTGCAGATACGTTTTACTAACATGTGCTACCTTGAACTAACAGGTTTGCTTGCTTAGTCTCATGTTCTTTAGAGCCCTCAGTCTTCACAGGCTTTCTAATTGCATAACTATGCATAACTATGATTTCCCTGTGCAACAGCTTTGACGCTCCTTGATCAGGTTCCATACGGCCTTTTGTAATCTTGAAGTGTCACAGGTGTACAGACATGACTGACTCACCACCACATGCGAAACAGCTTGTATAGAAGAGTGATTATATAAGCAGTTCACATACTATCCAACCATTTCAGTGGATTTCGCCAAACTCGAGTTCAAATTAAGTTTGTGCAATACCTTAACATGCAACTTGTATTTCCATATGCTTAGAAGCACTGAGAACTTAGCAGCCTGCCAGGAAACACTGGAAACTTTGAGGATCTTCTGTATGCCTGTTTTAGATTAACAACTTTGTGTTTCTTAAACAATATCTCTCTGGGACTATGAATAAATCACTGTCACTGGGTTGATGTTTTTAGCTGTTATGGTTTTAAAGTATCCATAAAGGTTTTGAACTGGACATTTCTTGCAACAGTATTCAGTGATTTTCACTAAAATCTGAAACATTTCTCTGTGAAGTATAGTAAAAATCACATTTTTACTGTGTAGAGAGTGATATACTAAAACATTTGTGTTTTCTTTTTAATGCACATGTTATTTTTCATGTTTATGTTTTTCTAGGGTTTGGCTGGAAAGAAAGGTGCAAGAGGTCTGGTTGGAGCTCCCGGCATTGAAGTAAGCATCATATTAGCTCAATTAAGTGAATGGCCTAAAGAGAAGCAGCCGCCTCTTTACATTAGCTGAGAACCTTCTGCATCATCAAATTATTGCATATGTCTACACGGTTCTCATTCCTTTAAAAGAAAAAAAGATCAACAGTGATCATTGAGAAAATAAACAGACACATAAAGATGGAGAATTCTAATACTCATGACTGCGTCAGAGGAGGACACAAATGCAGACAAAAAGAAGTCTGATGCAGAACATAATGTGAGCTTTGATTTAAAAAATTTGATAAGCCAAAACCCAACATGATTGTAATAAAAATGCAAAAACTAAACTAAATCAAACTATGAGAAAGGCACTAAAGACAAAAGTAGACAAAGAGAAAGACAAGACTAGACATACAGGCTTAGGGATGACTGACAATGAGACACAATTGGAAATAAACAGGCAGGAAAGGAACAAAGACAGGAGACAAAACCCAGAGCAAGACACACAAGAAAACCAACCTTCGAAATAAAACGAAGTAACTGACAAATATGAAGACAGAGAAGACCAGGATAAATATTTTACTGTAATTTCTAACGATCCAGATGGTGGACTTCAGTGCTTCAGGCTAAGCATCAGAGGAAGAATCACAGGTGTAAATATAGTCACGAGATTATTGACGGAAAGTGATGTTTTACGAAAAGATTGATGGTATTTTTAAATGCCCCTCTGGCTGAAACTGACACTGTCATTTAACAGGGGCCGACTGGTTTACCTGGGCTCACAGGAATGAAGGGTTATCCAGGCCCTGATGGCCCCCCGGGACCAACTGGCTTAGCAGGACTCCCAGGAAAACAAGGTCGACAGGTAATCGGTGACATGTAGACAGCAGCGTTTCCTTGGTGTTGGGATTAACATTATAGCAAACGCTAACTACGGTAGCCTTAAGTAATTGATTAGCTTACTATTTTAGGCAATTCAATAGTCTCACATTAATGAAATGTATTTAAAAAGCAGAGTTCGGTTGAATGTTTTTTCACCATGAGCACTGTTAATGTTGGTCGCAGAAGGAGTCGAAAGACGTAGTTGCACAGCTAAACTGTCAACAGGGGAGTTCCTTTACTGGAGACTTGTGGCGTGCTTTCTGTAGCACCACAAAAATCAACAAATGGGACTCATGGAATTGCAAGTGACCAAAGATTTACTCCAGCTCCTTCCATCTGTTATTGTATGAGTGGGACTGGAGACTTGGACTGATCATTAAATGTCTTGTTTGATTTGATTGGCCTCTTCATTTTGGGCCTCTCCAAATATGTATGCAGCCAAAGTGGACTGGGATTACATGCGTGCAAAAGGCCTTTTAGCCAAGTTGGAAAGCCAAGTCCTACTGGTCTGGCTTTCATTTAGATAATGTTGTATGAAAGTCTAGTAAGGCTAATTTTAGCCATTGATGCTTTTCAGATGAACTAAAACTATACAGTTTCCCATTGGTAACATCCCCAACTGCACTGGTGTTGAAAGAACGTGAATAATCCCTTAAAATTATATCAGTCTAATTTAAATATAGTAATATGTCTTACATTGCTGTGTAAAAAGTGATGCAATGATTTGACATTGCATCACTTTTTACTTTCAGCTCCACAAGAAGGCAAATTTTCAGGTCTGCTGTAGTAGAGGGCCGTTTTACTTGATAAAGGACATTCTTCACTCCTTAACTTCAAGTCTTTAAATCAAACTATTGCTTAAAAGCGGCTGATTCTGAGTCTTGGAGAGCCCCTTACAAATAATTTTCAGCTTTTCTGTGAATCAGTTTCAGTTTTTCACTCAAGCTGCCAAGAAAAAACTGTCAGGTTTCATAAATCCTTTTGTCGTTATCGTCTTTGCCCTTTGTGCCTAAGTTGGCACAGAATTCACTGTGACATCATACAGTGGGGCAAAAAAGTATTTAGTCAGCCACCGATTGTGCAAGTTCCCCCACTTAAAATGATGACAGAGGTCAGTAATTTGCACCAGAGGTACACTTCAACTGTGAGAGACACAATGTGAAAAAAAAATCCATGAATCCACATGGTAGGATTTGTAAAGAATTTATTCGTAAATTAGGGTGGAAAATAAGTATTTGGTCAATAACAAAAATACAACTCAATACTTTGTAACATAACCTTTGTTGGCAATAACAGAGGTCAAACGTTTACTATAGGTCTTTACCAGGTTTGCACACACAGTAGCTGGTATTTTGGCCCATTCCTCCATGCAGATCTTCTCGAGAGCAGTGATGTTTTGGGGCTGTCGCCGAGCAACACGGACTTTCAACTCCCGCCACAGATTTTCTATGGGGTTGAGGTCTGGAGACTGGCTAGGCCACTCCAGGACTTTCAAATGCTTCTTACGGAGCCACTCCTTTGTTGCCCGGGCGGTGTGTTTTGGATCATTGTCATGTTGGAAGACCCAGCCTCGTTTCATCTTCAAAGTTCTCACTGATGGAAGGAGGTTTTGGCTCAAAATCTCACGATACATGGCCCCATTCATTCTGTCCTTAACGCGGATCAGTCGTCCTGTCCCCTTGGCAGAAAAACAGCCCCATAGCATGATGTTTCCACCCCCATGCTTCACAGTAGGTATGGTGTTCTTGGGATGCAACTCAGTATTCTTCTTCCTCCAAACACGACGAGTTGAGTTTATACCAAAAAGTTCTACTTTGGTTTCATCTGACCACATGACATTCTCCCAATCCTCTGCTGTATCATCCATGTGCTCTCTGGCAAACTTCAGACGGGCCTGGACATGCACTGGCTTCAGCAGCGGAACACGTCTGGCACTGCGGGATTTGATTCCCTGCCGTTGTAGTGTGTTACTGATGGTGACCTTTGTTACTTTGGTCCCAGCTCTCTGCAGGTCATTCCCCAGGTCCCCCCGTGTGGTTCTGGGATCTTTGCTCACCGTTCTCATGATCATTTTGACCCCACGGGATGAGATCTTGCGTGGAGCCCCAGATCGAGGGAGATTATCAGTGGTCTTGTATGTCTTCCATTTTCTGATGATTGCTCCCACAGTTGATTTTTTCACACCAAGCTGCTTGCCTATTGTAGATTCACTCTTCCCAGTCTGGTGCAGGTCTACAATACTTTTCCTGGTGTCCTTCGAAAGCTCTTTGTTCTTGGCCATTGCGGCGTTTGGAGTCTGACTGTTTGAGGCTGTGGACAGGTGTCTTTTATACAGATGATGAGTTCAAACAGGTGCCATTCATACAGGTAACGAGTGGGGGACAGAAAAGCTTCTTACAGAGGACGTTACAGGTCTGTGAGAGCCAGAGATTTTCCTTGTTTGAGGTGACCAAATACTTATTTTCCACCCTAATTTACGAATAAATTCTTTACAAATCCTACCATGTGGATTCATGAATTTTTTTTTCACATTGTGTCTCTCACAGTTGAAGTGTACCTCTGGTGCAAATTACTGACCTCTGTCATCATTTTAAGTGGGGGAACTTGCACAATCGGTGGCTGACTAAATACTTTTTTGCCCCACTGTAAATGACATTTTTGGAAATAACTTAACAATTCATGCTCATATTAAAAAGAATCACAACATTAATTTCTAATATGATAAAATGATGAACCGATTATGCATCACATGCCAAGTACCAGATGTTATCTAGGTTTAATCTGGTCTGCCATTCGTGACATTTACAGACCCTCTTGTGTGCAAATTAGTTGAAAAGTTAAAATCCGTCTCTTTCGGGCTCAAATTCAACAAATTTATGTTTACCTTCCAAGTCATTTTCTTTTGATTAGAAGTTAAAATGATTTCTAAATGGCACATAGCCCCTTTTACCCGCATTCCTGTATGTGGGGAAAGGTGAAGGATAAATTGTTCAGACCTTGGTTTATCTAAGGGTTTGCCAACACCTGCATACTGTGGGTTTCATCCAGTAAACCACTGGTGGTGTAATTCCACCGAAATTCCTAAAGTATCCTGTCTCTTCACTGTCAGCCACATGCGAGGCAACAACTCACTGAGTGTGTTATTCTAAAATCTCAGGCTCCCTGCTGCCTCACCTACACTGCTGATGGAGCAGGAAACCACTGTGGTCTACAAAGTAAAAAACAACTCACTAACAGGTTTTCTGGACAGCCTTTAGACATAGGCTGTCGAGGACCCGTGTTCTAAAATTGCTTCAACACAACAATTTTAGAATTTTGTTTATATAATGAAACACTGGAAATGGTGTTCATTGTACTCTATAGCAGCTAATTGTAGTAGATGTCAATATTTACCATCAGTAAATAACCCTCTCCACTAACACTCAAGTTCCAAATGATTTTTCCAACATGCATTTATACACTTGTGTTTAGCTTTTGCAGAGGACTATGCTTGTGGTTTTGTCTGCTTTGTCAGAAGTTTGAGTGTCATTTGTTTAATAGCAACATTTAAACAGAAGAGGCGCCCATAAGATAGACCTCAAATGTGTCACTATATATGTCATTTACTGTTGTAGAGTAGTGTTTTAAACAGTGGCATAATGTTTTGGGGATTTTGTGTTGTGCCTTTTGAGGAAGCACACTAACTTTAGTACCTTTTTAACTTTGGCAAAGATTTGTTCAATCATCTCTTGTGTGTACGTAGGGTCAGAGGGGCTCAGTGGGACTGGAAGGGCCTGCTGGACGGCCAGGTCCAATGGGAGAACTTGGACTTCCTGGACATTCTGGAGAAAGGGGACCGCCAGGTCACAAGGTGGAAATGTTAATCATTATAAAGACCCATTTTCTTTGTGAAAAAGAAAGTCATCTCCGGTGAGATAAAATGCTACTGTGACATGCACCTAAACTGTTTAATTGACCTTTTATTGGATCAGGGAGAACCTGGCCTACCAGGAGACAGGGGGGGGCCTGGAATCAAAGGCATGAAGGGAGCTGCAGGTGACCAGGGAAAGAAAGGAGACCCAGGACCCAAAGGGCTGTCTGTGAGTACATGCAAGCAAAGTCCTAAAATAGAAGTCAATCTTTAATAGTACTTGAGAACGTTTGTTGTAAACTGTGTGGTAGTTCTGTGATTTATTATCAAAGTTTTGACATACAATTAGGCCTATATATAAAAACAGCTGTAATTCCTTAACAGTTAATTTAAAAACTTTCGTTAAACTCTTTTTAAGATCATTTAAAGCTAAAATTTGCATTTCAATCACATCTTGTTTTTTGATTTAAAATCCACTGCGGTGGTGCACAGAAACGGTCTCAGTGTGCAAAACATTTGGCTCTAACTGTATGTTTGAGGCTCAGTTCTGTTCATCATGGACAGTGTTTAGAAGACAGGATTATGACTCTGATGCAGGACAGGACTTAAACTTAAAACAGTGTTTATTGCTGGTGTTTCATGGGTAAAACAAACAATAAGAGAGGCATTAGGGAGGCTCAGAGAATATATAGACACGCAGCAGGTAATTAGGGAGACTGGAAACACTGGGGAACACAGCTGAAACTCCTTTGGGAAAGCAAGACAAGGGAAACAAAACTACACACAGTGACCAAGAGACGAGGGACTATCAAAGTAGGACAGGAAGTAATCAAAAGACGAGAATATCAAATTCTAAGACTTCACAACGAGGCACAGGGGAGGCAAGAAGTGTGATAACGGATGGGAAACACAGACACATAAATTAACTAAATGCAGAATACTAGACACAAGAGGACAAACCCAGAGGGAGGAATAAACAGCCAGGAACAAGGAATACAACAAAATACGCTAAATAAATGAACTGTAACCCCTAAACAAACCAAAACTTCAAGCTCCATCAAACTCACAATGCTGGGGCCCAGGACCAGGATGCTGGTAGCTGAATTCACATTTAGAGACAGTGCTACAAAATCAAATTAACTAGCTCCATCGCATAATATTAAATCAAGATACAATATAGATTTTTTTTTTTTATTCTATGCCTGACGCATTTTTGTAACTCTTTAATCTTCACATTTATACAGTTTTTATTTCAGCCTGTGTGTTTTTCACAGATACTTGTCATGTCTTTTTTTTTTTCATGTACCCGGTAGAGTATATACATTACTTTCCACTGGAATGCACTTGTTGAAATATGGCTTTATAAGCTTATATACATTCTTTAATACCTCTCTAAATATAGCTTCAGGGACATATGAAGCCAATCTTTGGTGAGGTTTCAATGTGTGCCTGACACTTTTCCAACCTGAGTAGAGTAACAAATTATCTGGGCGAGACTAGGAATGGAAACATTCCGCTTGGTGAGGCCAAGTTATGTAAGATCCTCACACTCCAGGGACCTGAAAAAGAGGTGCTCTGCTTTACTTATGTAACTCCCCGAAGAAGAAAAAAGAAACAGCATTTAATCCCTTGCTCTCCCCTCCTATAGTTATCTCCACTGATGCTCCTGAAACTGAGAGGAGACTCAGACCCTTGGGTCAGATCCCTTTACACATTTTAGTCAATAGAGTCTCTGGGCCAGAGTCACCGGTTTCAAAGTGGAGCTGTCTAAAGAATGTGGAAGACTGGCTGTACAAACACTGTCTGCCACCCTGGAAGGCATGTGCTTAGACACAGGATAGGACGCAGACATCCATCCCCTAACAGTGTGTCTAGATCATGTGAGTGTGTGCACCGAGACTGCCGCAGATCGACAGAAAGTCTTCTGTGTGTGCCCCAGTTCTTTTGAAATAGAAAAGAAGGGTCTTTATAAGGCTTGCCTAGTGTCCCTGTTGTGTCTGGTATTAAAACTGGGTGAAAAATCAAGTAAATCAACCCCACCTCCACACACACACACACTTGCCTTTTATATCTTAGTAAGGACATCTAATTGACATAATGCTTTCCCTAGCCGCTTACCGTTACCCTAACCATCAAAAATGCCTAACCCTTAGCCTAAACCTAACCATAACCTAACTGTAGCCCTGACAATAAAACCACATTTTGTGCCTCAAAAATGCCTTCAGACTTACGGGGCCCCGAATTTGGGCTAGAGATTTGCTATTGTATGTTCAATATATTAAATAACAAATATCAAATATCAAGTTTCTTCTCCAATGGAGAAGAAAGAAATAAACAACTTATTTTCTATTGTCCATTATCTCCAATAATAAGTGTTGGCTTTATGTTTTGTGTGTGTCTTAAGACCTATTTGTCTTAGGCACCCACCTTTATGAGTAAATCTCCATAATTCTACTGAGGATATTGTTGAGAGATTTGCTGTCAGCCCCGATTACATCACATAAGAGAATTTTTTTTAAAAGAGACATCTTCTGCATATTGTGTTTTTTGTTTTTTATAGGGGGAAACTGGAGATTTGGGCATGATTGGTTTACAGGGCTTACCAGGACCTAAGGTAAACAACTGAGTGGCCAACATGTATTAAGAGCGTATATAAAAACGATAAAAAATAACAGGAGAGTAGGTTAGAATAAGAAATAAGAAATATCTTTTTCCTTGAAACAGGGGCCAACTGGTGATTTAGGACTGAGAGGTTTCCCTGGTCCTAAAGGTCCTATGGGTACTTTGGTGAGTTTAATAGAAACTGAAATAGGACCAGGTAGGCACACAATGGTGCTTTCTTCAGAAGTACTGCTTTAAATCAAATCCCACTCAGGAAAGAACTTTCAGAAATATAAATACATTTCTGTTTTGTTCCCTGTTGTCAAAGTGTTTATGAAGAGAACATGAATGTAGACACATGTGCAGTACACCTTGAAGTCTTTATAGATGTTTTTACTGCTTTTTCAGCAATGTCACTGTTTGTTCCAGGGCTTCACTGGACCTCTAGGCCCTGAAGGAAAAATGGGTCCAATGGGAAAACCTGTAGGTTTTTTTTTCCTCATTTTGTGTATGTGTGTGTGTAAGACTTGTACAAAGAAAAAGGAATTATTACACTCTGACATTCAGACTTTCACTGTATGTATTGTTTAATTTCCAATAAAGACAGTTAATTGATAATACAGATTGGAATACAATGCTGTATGTGTCTTTATGCTATGTTATCCTTTTTTGCAGGGGCCAAGGGGTCCAAAAGGAAACGGTGGTGAAATGGTGAGATGCAATCAAACCCTTTAATCAAAACCTGGAAAGTCTTCTGTATTATTATGTCATGATTGCACTCTGCCAAAGTGTCAAACATTCCTGACTGAGAAACACTCGGTTGTCTTAGCGGCCACCTCAAAGCCGTTTGTGCGTGTAAAAACAGAGCTGTAGATGATGAAAGTTACATGAATGAGTGGTAGTTTTGTTTATACGGCTTTCTTAAAGTGTCGGTGCTGTATGACACTTTAGGCTAAGGCTATGGCTGAGTCATAATGAGCACGCTCTCCTGGAGCGCAGTGTGGGGCCCTCTTGTGTAAACAATGCTGAGGAAGTGCCTTGACAAAATGTTTGCAGGGAAAGCCGCGGTGTAATCCACACAGTCACTTCTCGGTCGTGGTAGTTAGTTTGTCAGTTCTTTGCAAATCCCTGTGCATTTCACCCTACCACACGCAAACACACTGTACTCAATGGGCCTCTAATCCTAGGCTTTACTCAGATGCTGTTAAAATGTGCTCACAATATGGTATGGATATAAAGGACTTGAGATCCCACTTACAGACATCATGAAGTTCAGCTGCACCAATGTTTTGTCCCTAGACCACCAGAGGGGGCAGTATGTGTGTGATACTACTGTCGCTCTACAGAGCATCTCAGAGAAGGATTCAATTCAATTCAGTCCAATTCAATTTTATTTATACGGCGCTAAATCACAACAACAGTCGCTTCAAGGTGCTTGAAGGAAGATGAGTCACGAATCTCTTCCATTCTGTTCACTGTGAGGCTGCACTTATTTAATCTATTTTATTTTTCGTCGTGTGTGTTATTTATGTAGAAGTGTATGTGTATCGTAATCATTTTAGCCATTTTAATGCTTATTTTCTATGTGCCTGACTCTTTCAGGGGCCTCAGGGACCACAGGGAAGCCCTGGACCCAGAGTAAGTGCTAACTACACTATCACTTTACAGAATGATTCCTACTGTATACACTTCACTGTTATTTTGGATTATGAACAATTATGAATGAGAGTTTTCACAGGTCAAATATACAGAAGTGCAAATGTTTTGAGTCACCTCTCATTCCTTTATATTTTATTAGAAAATAAGAAATAGATGCGAGGATTTATGGAAATGTGCAAACATGCATGGAAATTTAGTATGAAAGGCAAAAACTCAGTTTGTGGGCTTTTAATGTGTTTGGAAATCAATATTTGGTATGACCACCTTTATTCTTCAGCACACTCTGAACTTCATAAAGCTTCTTGAAGAACATCCAAAGCTTTTCTTTGGATGTTGGGCTGCCTTTCTTTCTGTTCTCTGTTGAGATGATCCAACACTGCCTCAATAATGTTGAGGTCTCTGGGGAGACCAGTCCATGTGTGATTGACATCATTGTGTGTATCCAGGTATGATTACACCGCATTGGCAGCATGTTTGGGATCATTTCCATGCTGAATAAGGTCAAAAAGCTTTTGATAATCAGATGCTTTCCAAATGGTACTGCATGGTAGATCAAAATCTCTGCCTCCACCATGTTTTACAGTTTGCTGTAGACGCTCCCTGTGGTACCTCTCTCCTGACTTTCTCCCTCTACATATTGATAATGATTTAGATTCAAATTTGGTGTTGCCATTGTTTTACTGTGTCAGGTCTTTGTTGGATTTTGTCCTGTTTCTTAAGGGCATAAGTTTCAGATACTATGTTAAGTTAATAGCTCACTATGTTGTTGCAAAAGTGCAGAAACATTTTATGCTGACCATACTTTTCCTTCTTCTTCAACTCCTTCTTTTTCACCTCCTGAGTCTCGGAGAAACCCTTTCAAATAATCTTCTTCTTCAAATTCTGTTGTTTTCATGTTAATTCCGTTGTTTTTATTGAAATTCCGTTGTTTTCATTCAAACTGTTCTATTCATTCTAATTCTGTTGTTTGTTTTAAACTTCCATTGTTTTCATTCAAATGCTTTTGTTTTCATTCTAATTCTACTATTTTTATTCAAATTCCGTCGTTTTCATGTTAATTCCGTTGTTTTCATTCTCTGTTTGTTTTAAACTTCCATTGTTTTCATTCAAATTCCATTGTTTTGATTCTAATTCCGTTGTTTTCATTTCATTCTTCTTCTTCTTCTTCACCTTCTTCTTCTTCTTCTTCACCTTCACCACAAATTGTGTTTTGGGGACGGCAACAATTTAAAATTGGTCTATACATAACACTAGATGCTTCTTTGATGCTTTAATGATTCAACAAACAGACAAAAAAACAACGTCAACAAAACATTCCTCCAAAAATGTTCAAGCGCAAGAACTAGACTAAAAATAAGTGAACAAGCAGCCAGTGTCGAAAGAAAACTTCTGAAAGATTTACAGAAAGCCTGGAGTCCAAATCTGTCTCCTTGGAAGCAAAATGTAAAGAAGTGAGAAGTGACTCAAGACTTCAGAGAATCACATGGCGAGCTGGGGTTAGGGCAGTTCTGTGGTTGTACACTCTACCATTTTCCTGCAGTGTACATTTTCTTCAGAGTCCATTGGCGCATACATGACAAACCAAAAAGTGAAATGATGGCAACCACAATGAGATCATTTCTGTGTGTGTGTTACTCATTTTGTCCTTTTCTTTCTACCACCCCAGGGACCCCCTGGCGCTCCTGGTCCAACAGTAAGTATTTTGTGTAATGCAGACAAGATTGCCTAGACAGCAGGAGTCTTGCTTTAATGTAAAATTCAGATGTTGTAATGATGTACAGTTCTTGAATATATATTACCTAGCCTGTAGGTATTTATATCTCATTGTGGTTGGGGGGGTAAATGAGTTACATCTCTCTCTTTCTTCTTTCCTGAAACCTAAGATGTGTGCTTTTTCAAGCTTAAATAAACGTTTTAGTAAAAAATAAGTAATACAAGCCATTTTTTTCTGAGTGGCAGGGTATGAACGAACCAGGACAAGCACCTGTTTCCTGTCTTACTCTAGATGAGCCAACAAATGGTGTATGTCAATAATAACTAAGATCCCTGTGATTGTTTTTTCAGTAGCACTGACAAAGCCTTTTCTGGCGTGGCTACTCTTGTTTGTCCCAGATTCTGGATATCATGCAGCTTTCTGCTCTCTACATGACCTTTTCCTGTTCAAACAGTTCCAAGAACCCCCCTAAAACAACTCAGCTGCCTTTTTTGTGTACACACATTCAGTGATCGCTGTGGTGTTTATACTAAGGGGAATTTGTTCATTTTCCCGCAGCCAAAATCAAGAATGTGGCTGTTTATTGATCCAAGCCTTATTTTTCTGCCCTTGTGTGGTATTAAAGTGTACACTGACGCTGTTAAAGTTTTCTCACTAAACTGGACATGTCTTTCTGCTGCCATATTTACTTTAATCAATGAGCAAGCTGACAGATTAAAATCTTTCAGTTTAATAATGAAGGCACTGAATTGTTTTCATTGAACTGAATATGTTGATTCTTAATCCACAGAGGGTGTTATATGACGACTTAGCAGTCTACAGTCCATCCGCTTCCAATGATGCCCTGAGGACTGAGGTGAAGCACTTTATAAGGATGGGTAGAGAAGTTATGGATTAGTAGATTTGTGAAGTCAGGTTAAAACTTGAGAGTTCACAGTGTTATCATCCTCGTACTTAACTAGAGTTTCCAGAATATGGAGATGAGCATGCCAGACCAGAACACGGAAGTACTTAAGACTCTACAGTATTTGAGCAGTGTGATCGAGAGCATCAAACAGCCTCTCGGGACAAAGGAGAACCCAGCTCGTGTCTGTAAAGACCTGCTGGACTGCCAGCACAAGTTAAAAGACGGTGAGTGTCTTCACCCATACATGGAATTTTGCACAGGTAGCAGGTCTTAATATTAATATTCTTCTCTTTTCAGGTTGGTTCTGGGTTGATCCAAACCTGGGCTGTACGTCTGATGCCTTCCAGGTGTTCTGCAACTTTACAGCAGGGGGACAGACTTGTTTACATCCAGTGTCAACTGATAAGGTAACACTGAATGAGTAGGGGGAAAAAGTACACTTTTACTCTTACGTTAGACCAGGGGTGGGCGATTCCAGGCCTTGAGTGCTGGTATCCTGCAGGTTTTAGATATCATCCTGGGTCAACACACCTCGATCAAATGATTAGTTCATTACCAGGCTTCTGGAGAACTTCAGGACATGTTGAGGAGGTAATTTAGACATTTGAATCAGCTGTGTTAGATCAAGGACACATCTAAAACCTGCAGGACACCAGCACTCAAGGCCTGGAGTTGCCAACCCCTGATTCAGACCATAGTATTTAACACTGACAGTACAAGAAAAGTTTCATTTTGATTCATTTAGTTAGTTTTATTTTGCTATACTGCATTATGCTTATATTATTTTACTTTGCACACTGAAACAAAATTATTCACAAAATTATAAAACTGTGACAGAGGGTTGTACTTCCTTGTACTCTCTTTAGCCAAGGAGTTCTAGTTTTGTGTCAGCTGAGCAAAGAACACCTTTCTAGGCTGCTTAATCTTTCTCCTGGTTGTCTTTCGCATACTTCATTCTAGCTTGAAGGTGTCTCTTCTGAAGAAGTGCAGTATTTCTTGGTCTCCAACCTCTTAGTCCATTCCTGTGCAGGGTTCTAGTTACTGTCTTAAATACTACTGCTTGACTTGGCTAAGTAACTCACTGCTGTCTTGGCAGTTGCTCTGGGGTCTTTAGACACATCTCTCACTGGTTTTCTTTCCAGATTCTTTGAAAATGTTCACTTCCTTCCATTGACAGGGTTGTTCTGTACTGTGTGGCTGTCTCCAAGTTTCTTGATGATACTTCTCACTCCAGCTCTTTGCATATCCATCTCTTGCTTTATGAGCATCAGCAGTTCTTTTTCCAAGTCTAAACTGGTTTGTTTTCCTTTTGACATGATGCTATGGTGTTCCCAATCTACACCGTCTGTGCACTTTCTCTCTCTGACAGATGGTATTTGACATAGGAAATGTCCAGATGAAGTTTCTCCATTTACTGAGCAGTGAGGCTAGCCAAAGCATCACGTTTCACTGCCTGAGTTATCAACCCTCCAGCACCGCAGACAGCTTCAGCTCCAGTGGACACAAAGAGAACACCAGGCTTCGGTTTCGTGGCTGGAACAAACAGATGTTTGAGAAAGACACACTACTTGAACCACATGTGCTACAAGATGAGTGCAAGGTAATGTGGTGTTTTAAAAAAAAAAAAAAAAAAAGTGCCTTTGTTTTCGTCGTTAGGGCAGTTTGATTTAGTCGTGAGCATTTTCTGTGGTTATTCTTACAGAAACCCGCACATAATTCTGCATATCAATAGGACTGTCTCGTGAAATTATGACTTGCTGGGACTGATTTGAAAATGTAAACTGATATCCTGATGATATGCTCTGATATATTCTTCATGCTGGTGATAAATTGTTGGTTGTAATTAAATAGGTGACAGCCGAATTTTAAAGAACTTCCTAAAGATATATATATTTTTGTATTTACTAAAAGTCATTACCACAAATAAATAGAATCTGCTCCCCTCCCCCATTTGTCCTGTTCCAGATCCAAGATGGCAGCTGGCACCAGTCACGATTCCTCTTCCATACTCAGGACAGTGGTCAGCTACCAATTGTAGACATAGAGGAATTTCCCACTTCACAAATCAACAGTCAGCGAAACGTAGAAATCGGTCCAGTCTGCTTCCTCTGATACCAACGTCCCTATCATCGAAGCCACTTTTATAAACCACTTAAATCCGCAGACTTTTAAAATTTCCTACCAAAGAGATGCTGGCACAGCAAGGCAGACTGTATCCCTGAGAGCTTGTTGCATTTGCTGGAGAGCTTCAGCAGGACTTACTGTGAGACTAACAAAAACCCAACATCGAACGGCAGGCAGCTCTACCTGGGAGAAATCCGTCTCTGTGGAACACCCGTGCCAAAGAGGACAGTGTATACTGATATTTATCTACTCAATGTGTAAAGTATTTGTTTAGTTTTCACTCAAAAGGTGCATTGGGCCACTGCATATGGACCCATTTTACTTCCTGATGACGGGGGTAGGGCCTCACATTGCAGCAGCCTGTCCAAAACCCAAAACTCAAACCTGCCATTCACTCATGTTCGACCCCTTCAACTCCCAAACACACCATCCTTGGAAGGGGTCGAATCCAAAGGATCATGCCAGGCCTCTGCAGAGGGCACTGTCTAACTAAAGGTGCAATAGCATATGGAAAATGTGTGTGCTTTAAATATTTCATTGTCCAATCAGAGGCTATATTTGATATTGTTTTTCATTATGTTTTTGTCTTCGGTCCCATCCAGTCGGACCTGTACATCTTGACAGATGGTACTCTACCTCTACCTGCTTTCAAAAATAGTCAAATTAGTCATTTTTACCTTTTGTTTTGTATGTACCGGTTACATCAGAATTTGTTATGTTGTTTGAATGCTTATGTTGATTTGGTCACTTCTAATTTATGAACCATTTTTTGATACACAACATATTTTCATAGCTTTTCCTACTATGTGGTAGTTTCCTCAGGGGAAACCTATCATTGGTGCTGCAACGTTTCCTGTGTATATATTGACAGCATACTTCAATGTTTATTTATAACCTGGTTTTTTTTTTTGGTTTGTTTTTAGATTTGTTATTATTATTTTTTTGGTCACCTTACTGTACCACAGTAAGTTATACTCTCAGAGAACTTGCTTACTTGGTCAACCACAGCTCGGTCTAGAGGAGTATTTATGTTTGGTGTGTGTGTGTGTGTGTGTGTGTGTGTGTGTGTGTGTGTGTGTGCACACCTGTGACTGTGTGTTCATCATACTGCTTTATAAATTCATTCAGAAGTCAAATGCAGCTACGGGAGGACAAAATCAAAAAACACAGAAAACAGTCATCATACTCTTAAGTTATGTTACCATTAATTAAGTGTAATTATATAAAGTTTGTGGAGGACAAAGTTGGATGCAAATGTGTAAATAAAAAAATAATTTTAGAAACAAATAAATGGGACATTTTATCCACATGTGGTTTTGTTACCTTTGTTTTGAATGAAGGACATACTTGTTATAAAGAGTGGTGGAGTAATACCTCATTATCAGTTTCAGATGTGCACAATAACAGGTTGAGATCTGCACCCAGTGTTACTTAAGTAAAAAATTTCCCCCCTAATGTTACAACCATAAAAATACACTGCTAAAAAATATTAAAGGAACACTTTTTAATCAGCATCAAATCTGGGATATTAATCTGGTCAGGTAAGTAGCAGAGGGGGTTTCAGCTGCTTTGGTGTTAATGAAATTAACAACAGGCACACTAGCGGGGCAACAATAAGACGAGCTGCACAAGAGGAATGGTTTTTATAAGTGGAGGCCACAGGTGTTTTCTTTTCCTCGTCGTCTCTTTTGTTTTTTCACAAGTTTTGCATTTGGCAAGGTCTGTGTCACTGCTGGTTACATGAGGTGATACCTGGACCCTACAGAGCTCGCACAGGTAGTTCAACTCCAGGATGGCACATCGATATGTCCAATGCCAGAAGGTTTTCTGTGTCTCCCAGCAGTCTTAAGAGATAAGGAGGAGATTCCACGAGACAGACTGTTTCTCTAAGAAAGATGAAATAGTTGTAGAAGGCCCTTAACCCAATAGCAGGACCTGTATCTGCTCCTTTGTGCAAGAAGGAACAGGATGAGCACTGCCAGAGCTACAAAATGACCTCCAGCAGGCCACTGCTGTGAATGTCTCTGACCAATTTATCAGAAACAGATTTCATGAGGGTGGTGTGTGGCCTGACATCTTGCCATGGGCTCTGTGCTCACTGCCCAACACTGTAGAGCCCTAATTGCATTTGCCATAGAAAACCAGAATTGGCACCTCATGTTTCTTACAGTTGAGAGTAGGTTTACCCTGGACACATCTGCCAGACGTAAAAGGGTCTGGAGAAACTGTAAAGAGTGTTAGGCTGCCTGTAACATCGTCTGGCATCTCGACACATCTGCCATTAGATATTAGGATGAAATCCTTGGAGCCATTGTCAGATCCTATACTGGTGCAGTGAGTCCTGGCTTCCTGCTGGTGCACAACAATGTGGTGAGAGGAAGCAGGCAGTTCCTGGAAGATGAATGAATCAACATCATTGCCTGCCCCCCACGCTTGCCTGACCTGAATCCAATAGAACGGCTCTGGAAGTTCTGTCAGTTTGCTTCTCACGCTGTTCAGCAGCGCAGTCATGTACAGATCTGAGTGAAGCTCCTCCAGGGTACCATCTGTCATGCCATTAGGAGCATGCTCTGATGTTTTCAGCACGCCCCAAAATGGACTAGTCTGCTGTGTCATTTTTTTCACCTTTTGGGGTATCAGTTGATATAGCATCCTTTCGTTCATTTACCCAGTCCACATCAGTATAAATATCCAGTGCGATTTTTTTCCCAGTTAAGATCTGATGAGTTTTCAAAGTCTTTATTTAACTTTAAAAAGTGACACTGTCATTTTATAAAACTAATTCAATTAATTCACAATGATGCAGAGGTTAATCACAGTAATAGCGTCCGAATGCAGTGGCCTACTGAGGCCCTTCTGTGTGGAGTTTGCATTTTCCTCTTGTGCCTCTTGTGGTTTCCTCCCACAGTCCAAAGACATGCATGTTAGATTAAGTGGTTATTCTAAATCAAGGAGCAAATGTGAGCATGAATGGTTGTTTTTATGTTTTGGTCATACAATAGGATGACCAGTTCAGGTAGTATAGACTCCAGCTTCTCTGCGATCCTGAATTAGAGAAGTGATTAACTCATTCACTGCCATTGACGTCTATAGCCAGCAATGGTAGTGAATGAGTCAATGGGTTTAACTCATTCACTGCCAATGGCTGGCAGTGAATGAGTTAAGAAGATCGATGGATGGATGAATTCACTTTTCTTTCTAAACTGCTGATCAGTTTTTTGAGGGATGTTGAATATGGTGCATGGGTATGTATCCTCTTGTTCACACACACACAGCTTAAAGAAATCTTCTTTAATTCATATCACTCACTCCTTTAATAAACACAGCCTATATAAACACACATAGAAATCTCATGAGAAAAGAAACTCAAATAAGTGCTGGAGCTTGTGAGAGGGTCTGATGTAGCTACTATCCTGCCCAGCGACCCATTATTGCTCTTCTTGCATATTCTATTATCCGTGTCTATTTTCAATCTATTTTAAGCTTGGATACACTGGCAGGCACAGAGACCAAAAATAACAACAATCAAACAACAACAACAAAAACAGTGCTGGCGAGCTGATCATGGGATGCATTTCTGACGCGCAGACACCGAGAGGCGCCAATGAGCACATTTTCCAACCGGAACTTGTATCCACGTGCTGGCACCGGGGCGGAAGAGCATTTGTTTTGATCCCGGCGTGTCGTTTCGTCCGCGTGCAACTACAATTCTCCCGTTATGAGCGCAGTAATTCTTCCAACAGCACACATAATGTCATCCGCGGAGAACAAAGTCGAAAATAGCAGCACCGAAGAAGAGGAGAGAGGGAAGAAAAGAAAGATGTCTCTTTCCAGGTAAGCGATTTAAACCGACTGCAGCTCAGCCACAAAACTAGGACAATATTTTGCGTTTGCTGTAAAGATTGTTTGCTCAGCTTCACTTCTCAGAGTCGGCATAATCCTAATATTTGTTAACCGAGTAGCAGATACATCTGCTGTCCCACACCAGATGCTACTTATCGTAATATGTTTATGCTAGGCAGTTATGAAGTTAGCAGGCTATTAGTTAGCTTCAAGTGAGACCACCACAGCCAAACTCCTCACTCTGTTTCTTCTTCGTTTATTAACACTTACTTTAACCTTTTAGTATATATTAAGTATATCTCCTAAAGTTTGTCACACAAAACATTTTCTGGCTCAACTACAGGTTATGTGTGCGTGTTGAGCACCGTTACTTGTTAAACACACTCACAGTTTGACGTGTTGTATGTCCTGCAGTTGTGGTGTTTGCGGATCAGAGGAGGCCAAGTACAGGTGTCCAGCCTGCCTTACTCATTCCTGCAGGTGAGATGAATATCCTCTGATTAACCCTTGGAGGGTTTTAAGGACATTTATTGTCTTTTGCATTTTTAGTTTTAAACCATTTTCACTGTGTTGAGTGGAATATAGTATAAGTAATTTAAAACTGCAACACATTTTCACCTTGTAAAGTGTCCCACTGGTGTTGCATTGTTTGCTTTCACCTATCAGAGAGCACAGTGTGGTGCTATGGAATAATAATAATAATAATAATAATAATCCATGGAAAAGGACAGATTTTGGCATCTTAAGTCATCTATGTCAATTAAGTTTTAAATACTGTCATAGAATAAACGGTACTTCTGTATGCATGAGTGTACTGGACAGCATTCATAAGTGAGGTCCAATCACATTTTAACTCCAGCTCTCATACTCTGTTGACTGTATATAGAAATGGCACTTATTCCTCAATGGTTAATGAGGTATGTGGTGGACACTCTAAACTGTATTTGGGCTGTGATCATTTCATTTCAAATTGCACCTGTGAGTGGACCCCCAATTCTGAAACCTTTGTCATTACCTCTTTTCCCTTAAGGTAGTGAAGTTGAGAAGCAGACATTTTGACAAGTTGTCCAAAGAAACTCATGACAGAGTTAGCGGGTTGCGTATGGCAGTCCTTTGTAAACTAGTTGCCAGAGTCTGACCCATAGCCAATAACACCAGAGGTTCCCATTTTTCAGCCAAGCAATTAATAGTGCTGTGGTAGTTTCAGCTTTTTGTCATTGGCAAAAAGCTGAAATGACTACCTTCTAGATTGGCCATTACACTGATGGAAAATGGTTCCAACATTTTTGAAGTTAACTGTTCATTTAATCACATCGCACAATCTTTTTTTATTAATTTATTAGGTCCAAGATTTCATGCAGGAAAAAAAAGAGACATAACATTTACAATGTCATCACAGACAATTTTGTGTTTGTAGTGTTAAAGCTCCACTGGGATAGCATAATTCTGTCTTCCATTTGTTTTCCATCGCTATTTAAAAAACAGAGGAAAAAATACCCGGTAACCTAAGAATTACAATCTTCCACATCTTCTACCCTTACGTGCAGATAAATATTATCGATGACTGACAGATGGCCGTGTTTTTGTTTTTACTTTCTGAACTTTCCTTTGATTCATGTCCAGCATCAGCATGCCTCAGAACAGCATGCCTCACAAAATCTCAATGGTCCGTTGCCCATTCTTGGAATTCTGTCGATGCTAAAGCATTTACAACTTCACCTTCTAATACTGAATAGTACAAAAATTATATTGCTAAACATTTCTTTAAGATTTATCTGACGGGGGCTAACAAATGTGCTTTCCACTCTCGTATTGTTGCCTGTTGTTTTGGGCATCATTCAGCATTCCTTTTACATAGTTTCTAGGAATACAGTCTCTGGTATGACTTGGGCCAGATATCCGTCTTTCAGCAAGAGTGCGAAAACTGGCCTAGTCATGCTCAGGTGAAATCCCAAGGTTTTTGTGTTTGGTGTGAAGGAGTGTAAGTTTTTATATTTAACCCCCCAACGCCTCGTAGATGTCCTTTTATACATGAGCTTTTAAGACTTCTGCATCATCAGTTCAATTCCCAAAAAACCCCAAATAAACTGCACAATATATTTTTAAACAAATGCCAAACGTGTAGCAAATATGATACAAATCGAAACTAATTTATACAAATTATGAATTTTTTTTAATTGTATTTTTTAACGTCAGAAGGTTAAATAAATACTCCTTTTTTCCCCCTTTTTTTTTTTTTTTGAAAAATTAGGATTTTCCTGGCAATTATTTCATGGTTCAAGCTTTAAAGGGTTAAGATCTTTCAAAAACAACACTTGAAGTCATGACAGAGCATGTTTAGCCTGGTTATCAGCTGCAGCTGGGAACATCATCTCAAAGATGAGAGCAAGCCTCACTGAGAGCATGTCCACTGCAATTGTGAATCCATGAACTGATTTATCTGTAAACTTTGGAAACTTCTTATTTTGGACTTAATATTTGTATTTATTTTACTTTTATTCTGACGGTCCTTTTGAGTTGAATTCATGTGTTCCCTGGGTCACTATTTTAATTTGCTGTTGGATGAGACAACAGGGTGATTCACAGAGTTGAGCAGGTGAGATACTGAAATAATCGTTGAATGATCAAAGAGAAATTGACAGGTTAGTTGACTACCAAAATCATCTTTAATCTTGTATTATTTAAAAATGTCAAACATCCCGCGTCAGGCAGTAGTACCCAATGTTCCTTTGGGTTATTTTAAAAAACAAAAAAACAGTACAGTTTGTTTGTTTTTAACATTTTTCTTTGGCTCCCCCTCAGGCAAGGATTTATGGTTTACATTGACTAGCACAATTCTACATTCTGTTTTTATTTACATTTCACACAGTGCCCTTTTTTGTGAACTGGCTTAATCATTCCAACCTAAACTCAGTTTCCTTCGGGGTCAACCTTTGGGATCAATAACGTTTTATTTAATTGAATTGAATAAGGAAATGACTGCCTACCATGACTGTCCGTTTATCTTTTGTAGCTTGCCGTGTGTGAAGAAGCACAAGGAAGTTTCAGGGTGCAGTGGCGTTAGAAATAAAACAGCATTTGTGACACTGTCACAATTTGATGAAATGGCGCTTCTCAGTGGTGAGCAGCCTCTTTGCTGGTATAAGTCATTCTATTAATGTGTGTTATCATAGAAATGTGCTATTTTCTCACTTTCATAATTACCATTGGCCCTTTGTCTCAACTGTAGATTACAGGTTTCTGGAGGATACTGGCCGATTTGCTGATGGTGCCACCAGAGACAACCTCGTCCAGGCTCCTCGTGTCACTGTCAAAGTAAGCCCTGTGTTGATAGATTTAGTGTGTTGAATGTTGTTTTGTTTAAATGTTAGTATAATAAATTAAAATAGGGTGGGTTGCTTTGGTGAGGACGTGTGCTATTTAAAATAATGGTGCTTACTAGAACCATATACCTTTATTCATCTTGTCCTAATAGACTGGTTCAATAGTGTAGTGGTTTACATATTTACCTAACAAGCAAAAAAAAAATCCCTTTTTTAAATCTGGGAGAAGACCCAAATCCCTTCATAAGGAAGTGTGACAGTTGTCAAAAATCTGCCAAATCAAACAGTGGAGCTACCTGCTGAGGAGAATAACAGATAAGCACAGTTTGTTGGAGAACTGTTTATGACCCCTGGTGAAACCTTGTAGAAAAGCCAAAACCCTTTAAAAGTGTGGAGCACATACACTTAGTTGACACTCTATTAAATACACTTTGCTAGTACCAGATTGAACCAAGGTGATGGAAGCATTCCTCCAACTCTGATTCATAATTTGTAGCATTAGGCAGCTGCTGCACATCTGTGATGAGAATCTCCTGTTCCACCACATCCCAAAGGTGTTCTATTGATTTGAGATCTGGTGCCTGTGGAGGTCATTTGAGTACAGTGAACTCATCATCATGACATTGGCGTGAGATAATTTGAGCTTTGTGACATGGCTCATTATGCTACTGGAAGCAGCCATCAGAAGCCATCAGGGAACACTTGGCTCAAAAAGGAATTCACATGGTCAGCAGCAATACACACATGTAAAGATCCTCATTTGATATTCCTCACCATCACCATGCCTCCTGACATCGGACCCACATTAAACGCATGGACTGAACATACACACACACACACACACACACACACACACACTGGCCTGTATTTGTATAGCGCTTTACTTAGTTCCTATGGACCCCAAAGCGCTTTACACATTCAGTCATCCACCCATTCACACACACATTCACACACCGGTGATGGCGGCTACATTGTAGCCACAGCCACCCTGGGGCGCACTGGCAGAGGCGAGGCTGCCGGACATCGACGTCACCGGGCCCTCTGACCACCACCAGTAGGCAACAGGTGAAGTGTCTTGCCCAAGGACACAACGACCGAGACTGTCGGAGCCGGGGCTCGAACCGGCAACCTTCCGATTACAAAACGAACTGCCAACTCTTGAGCCACGATCGCCCATAACAGAACACACACCGATTGGACAAAACAAACAAATGGCCAACTGTACCCTCATACATACAATAATAACACTGAACCATTGAACTTACAACCACTTGCACTTTATATAACTAACTACTGCATAATTTATCCATATCCATCTCAATGATCTCAACTGCACTACTGTAAATGCTGGATAGACAATCATACTGTACAATACAATAATTATAGTTTTTACAACTGTTTATTAATACTCGCAATTGTATATCTACAATCTGTATAGTTTTCATATTTCATATTTCTGTATAGTTTTCATATTTTTAACCATATTTATAACCTCCATTGTACATTGTAACATACCTATAATAGACCCATATTCTGTGATATATCTATATTATTGCTAGAGCACTTCTGGATGGATGCAAACTGCATTTCGTTGCCTTGTACTTGTGATTTGATTTACTGATTATATATTTGGGTCAATGCGCAGTTCAACAGGTGTACCTAAGAAAATGGTCGATGAATGTACCGATATGATATATACATCTTAAAGTAATAATAGTGTCAGATCCACATCAGACATATCCAATATCCCATAAGTGTTTTTCTCTTTGTGCTTTTATTGCTTTGCTTGTGTAATTTGTGGCTGCAGTTCCGCAATTTAAACATTTTTTTTTTTTCTTCAAACCACTGACATTCTTTCGTGTAATACTTCATACCAGCTATTACCTGTTCTTTTACTGCAGCCCAATTCAAGTGGCATTTGATAGCTTGAAGTAATTTGTGTTCTTTTATGGGAAGCAGTCACTGCTTCAGCTGTTATAGATCAATCAAAATAATGAGGCTTATTCTCAGGGAAAGATAAAGGCTTGGCGCATGATGAGCTCTGGGATTTGGGTTTTTCTCCAGAACATTGCAAGTGCGGTAATCTGTTACTGGCCCTGTATATCCACACCTTTTTAATAAATCTTTTTTACTGTCTCTTACTGCCAATCTGAAGTGATAAAGGAGCCAGAAAGGAAATGCTTGTCTTTTCAAATTTAGATGAGGGCAGTAAGAGTTCAGGCCATCTTTGGTTTGATTGCTAATGAAACTCACACAGCTGTAGTTATTGGCGTAAAACAGATGTTTGGTAATTGGATGTATTTGTACCGTGACAATACCCCCTTGCCCCAACGACTTTTTCACAGAACTGGAAGGTCAGCCTAGGATCCAACGTATCTGTTATTTACTAGGAATAGAGGCTGTCTTCAACACCATTTCCTGTTTCATTGACAGCTGTTTTGTTAGATGTATGTTGCAGAGATATTTCTTAAAGTCTACTAGCTGTTTGGTTCTACTTGCTTTGGGATCTTCATAATGCCTCGAGGGACCCCTCATTGCTTTATATTTCTCTATGAAAACAGAGATTGACAGACCACGTGACTTTCGCGCGTTGCATTTTAGGTACGAGTGGCAGCAAATTCAAAACACTGCATCAAGCGCTAGCATTTCCAGCACCATGTTTACATTTTATTTGCCCCAAAAACGGTTGTGTACAAAACGAAGGAGAACACGGCAGGTCCGTACAAAGACAGACTTGACGAAAGACAAAAAAAGTACGAGGTAAAAATCAAAGGAGTGAAAGGGTTAGACCCATACGAGCATACAGAGTGGACTAAAGATGTTACCGTGCTGCACAGCTTTCATCACGCACATATTTATAACTATATGGTCCTAAGTGTGAGTGCATACACTCACAAAATGTTTAGTATCTTCAGATCCCTGCAACAAGCCCAGGTCCAGTTTACTTTGGTGATTTGGACTATTCCATTTTACAGCTGTTGTTAAATTTTTTTTCTTTACCTCCTGTACAGGCCAACGCAATCTATTTGTCTTTTCAGGTTGTAGTATTAGGCAACATTTTCAGATCCAATAGAAATAAAATAAGTGTTTCGTAATTCATTCAATTTATTGTCTTTTATTTATAACTGGCGTTATTGTTTTATTCTATTATAGAATCTTACAAGAAAGAGGCAAAATTGTATTCAATTGTACTTTATTAGCTGCTTTGGTGAAAAACAAGTCAACTGTGCAAAAAAAAAAAACCCATATCAAAACAACATACTGGAAAACAGTTATTCATCACTTGATTGCTTCAATACAACACTTGGGCACATATATGCAGGACTTTTCGTGGCTGTTTTGATCTCGCTCTCTCTCTTAACCGATCAAATCTGGCTGTGGTAGCAGCTTTAAACTCGGTATGACCCAGGTTGATAGAATCGCATTCCAGCATTTTGTAGGCTGGTTTTCCTACAAAACACAACAAACATTAGCCCGCAAAGCCACAGTGAACAAAGCAGCATAGCGCAACGAACTTAATTCAAATCATTATAAGACTTATTTGTAACCTACATCAACAATTATGTTATGATAAATTATGTAATGACTACAGCAGAAGACTTACATTTGTGGAAATGCTTGGAGCAGACTGACATGTGAGCTGGAGTGTGCTGGAACATTATATTTGGTCTTCGAATGACTGCAATCCAGGCCATCCGTCAGTTCTTTGTTACTTCGGAAACATGGTTGGAACAATTTCTCTTCCACGACAGAATCAGATAAAAACCGTTACGCGTCGGCTTCCCGTGGCTATCATGCAACGAGCTTTTGCAGTTAATAATACAACAGCTTCTTGCCATTCTTTGTGTTTCTTTTTATCGCTGTGTGACTGTTTTCTTGTGAAAGCCTGCGTGCGCTAGTACCACTTGCCACTTTTACCTACAATCCTTTGCGGTTTTGACGTCACATTTTCGATCTCTATATGAGATGAGATTCTAATAAGCAATATTTGGTATGACAGTCTTTAACGAGCATGTCTGTGAAGGTTCGTAATCCACTGTGAACGACCATCTTTGAACAGAGGCGGTGGCTTATGACTCCAACTGTCTGCCATCTATAATCCAGTTTTGAGATCCCTTCCCAGAGGCCTTAATGCCCACTCACATCCTGGGCTATATGACCTCAGTAAATCACGTGGCAGGGTGGGGCTAGGTGGGTTCACCCGATAACTTGGCTGATTGTGACCCACACCTCATTTCACACCTTGGGTCATGTGATTAGGTAGAGGATCAATAGGAGGTCCATGACCCTCTTGGGGACACTCCCATAGGGTTTAAAATCTGGAACTGTCCACCAATTGCTCTTAGAACTAAAGAAGCTTCTTGGATGAAACGTCTTCAAGAAAACTTTAAAAAGTCCAGATGCTTTTCTTTCCAAGCTCCTTAAACCATGATGACCTGTATGACTGAGAACCTTCACAGACGTATGACAATCTTTAATATTCAACATAGTCTGAATTCTCTTACAGGCTTTCTCATAGTTTCTTCATGATTAGTTCTCCAGGCTTTTTGAAGGACAAAGCTCTGTCAGTGCGCCCCAGGGTGGCTGTGGCTACAATGTAGCTTGCCATCACCAGTGTGTGAATGTGGGTGTGAATGGGTGAATGACTGGATGTGTAACGTGCTTTGGGGTCCTTAGGGGCTGTACAAATACAGGCCATTTTGGATGTTCTCTGTTCTCTTTTCAAGATGAGCCACTTCAATATTTGTTGAGGTCTTGGCTTGGGGAAGGCCAGTCCATGACAGATTGTGATTTTCTATCCAGGTATGATTTTACTGCATTGCCAAATGTGTTGGGGATCATTGTCATGCAGAAAAAAAATGAAGCCATTGACAATTGGATGCTCTCCAGATGGCATTGCATAGTTGTTAAAAATATTTTTCTATGTTTATAATTCCATCAGTTTAGACAAGATACTCAAACCATGCCAGGGCATCTGCCGTTTACAGATGGCTGTAACTCTCACTGTTGTACCCCTCCTCCCTTTGCCCTCTTCTATACATAATTACAATTTGAACCAAAAATGTCAAATTTGGATTCATCCTCCCCATGAGACCTGAGTAGATGGACCAACTGAAGGACCAGATGCGTCTTTCAGGTCCTCTGTCAGGCCCTTGTTGGATTTTTTTCATATTTCTCCAGGACAGTTTATCATAGCTTTTTTTTAGTCCTGCCACTACTTCGTTTGTTTTCCACTTTCCTCAGTGTACGATGTGCCAAGTTTTCATCTAAGTGTTATTTGGGAATCACCTTGTTGGTGCAAAAATATTATTTTTATTCCTGCTTTGCTGTGTTTTCTTTGGCATTTTTTTTAATTACACTGCAAAATGGGAACAAATCATTAGGTTTTATCATTAGGTGGCAGACCACTAGTAACAAAATGACTAAATGGAAAAAAAGGGCTAGCTTCTTGGAACCAAAATATAAAGAAATGAGGAATGGTTTAACACTTTTCCACAGTACTGTAGAACTAATGGGAATAATCAGGATACTAGAAAATACTGGCTCCCAATCTTGTTCATACAGATGTCACTCACAGGTTAGGGTCAGGTGTGTGCTTTGGAACTCGTTTGTTTATCTTGACTTCTTTCAGCTGTGTGGTTTTGGTTATTTAACCATTTTAACTACAGCTTATCATTTCAGTCGTTCATCCATTCATTCATACTTTTTTGACAGCTATTCATTTCATGGCATGTAGTGAATCTTTTGTATGGTTTATACATTATGTTTCGGTACCAGTTTAACATAAATGTTTACCTATTGTATATTTATTGTATTTAGCCAACCATTACCCACACTTATTAGTTGACAGTTTCAGCTGTTGGTATAGATTTGGCATATATTCCCATCTCCCATCCTTCATGTATCCTGGCTGCAGAAGTACCACGGGAGAACTTGTACCCCTGCTTGGGAGTCACTGCTGTACGGGGTTGTTCTACTGATGGGGCTGCAAAGACTATTTTGTCTTTACATTTTGTATTCTAAATTGTAAATGTATTGAAAAAGACCACATATAATTTTTGCTACTTGTGCTTAAAATGGCAATAAATTAATGATATAGTTATTGCTGATTGACACAATTATTTTAACTTTACAATGGAACTATATCATCTTTATTTTTCTGTTCTTCAGTCTAAGAAACTGGCCTCTAATGCCAGGAAGATGAACATCACCCTGAGATTCCTCCCCATCACCTTCTCTAAGAGCAGAGAAAACTCCACCTTCTTCCTTACAAAGTAAGCATACACCTGCTCAAATGCAGAAAATATCATTATTGTTAATGTTATATTTTGAATTCTGTTGGATGGAGTTAAATGTCAGTGTATTTTGGAATATATCTAAGGTAAGTTAGTAACTTTCTTCATTTTGTAAAGTAAGGCCCTGTCATTATCTTGACCATAATAAAGGATGTACAGGATGAAGATTTTCCCACACACATATCCTATACAGGGTCCAGAAAAATAAAACTTACTGACACAAAAACAAATGTGATATTAATAGGTAACATAAGTGTTTAGAGTTCTTTCAGGGGAATACCATGAAAAGCCTTACAAAGACATTCAGGCACTGTTGAACATACTGTCTAAGACAGCACTTTAGTGTTTTCTGGTAAAGCCCTGCTTAATCTGCTGCAAAATGAGCTTCTGATTAGTGCTGTTTTACTTTACCACAGGATGGCACTCTCGTGAAGTGTTTTATCTAGACTTGGCTTTTCACACGCTTATCTCATGGCAGTCTTGTGCATGGTGATGAATCCTGAATCTCTAACCATGTGTATGAAAGATTCATTCCCCACGAGAGTCCTTAAATCGTTAATAAAGGAGTTTATAATATACTAAATGGGACATGAGCTGAGATGATTACCATGATGTTAGAGCTTGCCAGACACATATGCCAGCTTGTTGCAGAGAATCAGTGGCATCATAGTCCATGCTGGTGGACACCTTGCAGTTAATTTTTTCCATTCTTGCCCAGCTTCTATTGCATGACACGGCTCAACTCGACTCAGTAATTTACATAGTACCCATTCCTGTTTAGGGGCATGGTAGGATGGTTTTAAATCCTTGTAAAGGCTGAAGGAACTGGGGAAAAAAGACTGCTAAAAGGAAAAAACTGGAAGGTTTGAGTAATTTCATGTCCCATGTTGCACCTCCTATGTTGCACATATGTCGCTTCTTTCTGGCCTGTCAGCAGCCTGCAGTGTTTACATGTTGCCTTTTAGTTCTGGCTTACATGGTTTAGAATCTCGACTGAAGCAGTACCTCTTTTGCCAGGTACGATGTGCTTTGCACAGTGGAAAACCAAAACCAAATGGCATGCAGGGAGACTTTCAGAAAAGTCTCAGCTTATTTAATATTGCAGACTTGCAGTTATTTAGACACGAAGGTTTTATTGTTTTCTTTAGAAATAGCGTGTATTTAGTTTTTTTTTTTTTTTTGGTCAAATTTGTTCAAATGTGCTGGTTGTCTTGTCATTTTTGGCAGCTATTCTAACTCCCTGGACAACCTTGTGCCACTCATTTTGCAATTTCTTTGAGGTTTGGCCCTGGCTCTCTAATCCCACAGTGGAAGAATAAAGAAGTGGAAGAGGGGGGGAAATTGTTATTGAACTGCACATTAAAGTTTTACGAGTCTTGAAATGCCCAGGGACAACATTAGGTGCCAATCAGGATTGCCACTAAAAGAAACCTTTGTCATTCCCTCCAGCTGGTTTTATGTTGTTACTTTCCCTTTCACCACCCTCTTTTCCATCTGTAAAGTCGACTGCTCTGTCATGTCTGTGTCTGGTGTTCTGCAGGTGCTGATTTAAGTGAGCACATCACATCAGCTTTGTCAGGTTCTTGTGGCAGACTCCAGCTTCATACTCTGTGTGTTCAGCTCAACAGTTGTCAGATGTTTTAGGTTTTTTTTTGTTTGCACAAATTTTTATCTGAAGGATACAGATATGATATATTTTTATCGTCCTGTTAGCCTAGCATCAGTAGAGGAATCACCAGCCAACTGTCTCACTAGATTTTTCAACTAACCGCAACACTGCACCATTTACAGGCTACCAAATAGACACAAGGGTTGGGGTAAAGGTATATAATAAATAAATGGCAAAGGGCTGAGAGAGAATTTGTTTCAGAATGTACCAAGTACATAATATAAAAAGCAGATGTGTGAACAGTGTGAGTGCAGCTGGTTAGCGACATATTCATGCTACGCACTCACAGTGCCAGAGAAGGATCATTACTGGCATACAGCTGACTGGAGGGTTTTCATGCCTGGTGGTGGTGTGTGTGTACGTGTGAGTGTACATGTATATGCGGTGAGCTTGGGAGCACGTGTCTTTTTGATTAAATGTTTGTATGCAAAATAATGGCTGTGCAGCTACTTTCTTTCCACCTCTTACCCAATGACTAATTTAAAAAACAAGGCAAGAACAGTAAAGAAAAAACTTGAGGCTGCCTCTCACTCCAGTCCTTAGAGGATAGTAGCTGGCATTTGGCAGAACATTGGGTGTAGTTGTATTAGGATAGAATTATGTGTTCTACAGTCTCAGCCTGGCAGGTCAGAGAATTTTCCTCACAGATGACTTGAGTGGACTGGACAACACATTGCAGAAGCAGTTATTGCGTGTAATAACTGAAAATATTTCCATAATAACTTGGGATAATTAGTAATATGAGCTGCAGCAGTTTTCATTCCCTGTGTATTACTTTCCCATATATTGCGTTGGGGAATTAACCCAGCTTTCTGGGTGAGAGTGGTCCTATATTTGCTCTCAGTTATTGACAGGTGTTGAACAGTGAAATCCAAAATGAAGTGCTTCTTATTGACAGTAGAAGATAACATAATAGCTTTGTAGACGAAAGCAGTGGTATCCCATATGTGCTGTAGGCTCAGTTAATGTACTATAAAGGTATTTTGAATGCTTGGCATATCTTGTGTTGTTTAATTTTTTAAATTGCGTTAAAGAAAGTCCATTCAAATTACTTAGCATTTTTTTCTTCACCAAGGAGGTTGATTTTGGCAGCTCATGTGTCTGTAAACACGATAGCTCGAAAAGTTTAGAATGAATTCTAATAACGTATAGAAAGTATAGTATAAATATTTCAATCCTGTGTCACATTTGACCTCTGACCTCCTCCTTCAAGGTCCATAGATTGATCTGAAGGTCAAAGTGATAACAGTGCTATATAGAGCTTTAAAACTTCCTCTTCCTGACTGTCATTGTTTGTACTGACAACATAGGGGTATGTGGAGAATGGAGGGGATCCAAATATGACTGCTTCAAGGTCAAATAACGTCAAACTTAAATGTCATATTCTCTGATCTCACTTTAACATTTAGGGTCTGCCTTTTCTTTCAAGTTGACCCCAAAATGTGTTATGCCAAGGGCTGCTCGACTATGGCAAAAATGATAATCACGATTATTTTCACTGAAATTGAGATTTCGATTATTTGACGATATTTATTTAACAATAACAATGTTTTGAATAATGACTTTATATTATTTTTGACAATCTTTAAAATAGTGTGCAAATACTGATAACAGTGCAAATGTTTGCAATATAAAAAATAAATGAAAAATGTAAACATCTATGTTTAGTGAACTTTGCAGTGTTGCTCTGTGGTGCAGCTAGGACACTGTAGCAAAGTTTACACACTATTGATCCACGTCTGACTCCGCGAACCCATAATGTTTCCACACCACTGAAGTTTTTTTTTACCTCTCTTTTCAACCAACGGCAGTCACTCTCCTCTCCAAATAACTTCTGCTTAGCTTTCCGAGCTTCCCTCGGGTCCTCTTAATTGTTGTAACGCGTGTTCGAAACGCGGAGAGGTGCGCTCGATTTGCCACACGGAGCAACATGAGAGTAAAGTACGAGGGAGGTGCTAATAATCGGCTCAGTCATTTTTAATGATCGTTGAAAACCCAGATCGTAATTTAGATTAAAATTCGATTAATTGAGCAGCCCTAGTTATGCCTTTTAAAGAAAGTGTTGTCAAGAAAAAAGCGAAGGAACCGGCTGGTTATTTATTTTTTTAAATAGATTATATAGTAGTGGGGATAGGTTAATTGGAAAATCCAAATTGCCATTAGGTGTGAATGTGAGTGCGAATGGTTGTCTGTCCTTGTGTGTTGGCCCTGCGACAGACTGGCAACCTGTCCAGGGTGTACCCCGCCTCTCGCCCTATGACAGCTGGGATAGGCTCCAGCGCCCCCTGCGACCCTGAAAAGGATAAGCGGAAGCGAATGGATGGATGGATTATATAGTAATCAATATCCACGCTCTTCTCTATGAACTACTCCTACAAAATAAAAGCCTGCACTTTGTGCTTGTTTTTATTGCATTACAATTTTTGTTATGGTTTATATGGAAAGAACAAAGAAAACAAATAAATGTATAAAAAAAAAAAATGCTATTCTCTTAAAAGAAAATGATTCCCAGAAAGTGAGCTGTTTTGGCTGAGGTTTGCACTCTCTGGGTGCTTCTTGTCTGTTACTGCTTTTCGTACAACCAGTCCTTCGTCTTTCCTTCGTCTGTGACTCATCTCTTTGCAATAGGTCACTCAACTGAATGGGTTGTATTGTGGTTATAATCATATATAAATGAAAAGTTGCCAAGTGCCTATGTTATTTTGCAGTTAAGTCACCGTCTTGCAGTAATTACATCATTGCACACTTGCTTAAGTTTTGGTCATACCATGGTCTCCAACCACTGTTTTCCTCAGTGTGGCTGTAGCATGATTGGAAGTTAAATTGATGGTTATAAAGTTATCTCTGGGAATGTAAAACAGCAACAACATAATACTAAGTGTTATTCTACTGATGATTTGACAAGGTCCATAGACTGATCCACAGCTGTAATTTGATGGCAAAAAGAAAAGACAACCAGAGAACGAAGGCACACAAGAAGGAGATATGAGCAGCTGGTGACGTGCTATGCAGCGTAAACAAAATGCTCGACTGAGCTGGAGCACTTGCTGGGTTTACTTCATATGACAGGAAGTGGAAATTACAGATTTTATTTTTAAATTTAAATGTTATGTGACAATAGTGTGCAGGCTCCTGAGGAGTTATAGTTGTTAAGATAGTTTTAAGCAGCTCTGGTATTCCTCCACCCAACATTTCCAAGGGAAACATCCCTGCTGTTGCAGAGCTAGTAAGATGAAAGTGCACCAAAGTACAGACTGTTTTTGTTCTGGCTGGGTTAATTATGCTGCTGTCTGGGAGGTGAAGGACATGA